AGGATCTGCGAGAGCCAGACACGTCAAAGCAGATTGCCAAGCGTATGAGGGAACTTCATGATGGTATCGACGTCTTGGAGAAGGAGAAGAATGAAGGTGCCGCAGTGTTCAAGAACTGGGATACTTGGCTCGGTAACGTCGAGAAGAAGATCCTCGCTCTTGACGAAGACGTGCGCCGCGGATCCAGCGTCTTCTCGGGCCAGGGCTACGTCTGCGGCGTGGAATGGGCACAGTTCAAGGCTCTGTACGAGAGGTACCGCGAACTGGTCGTCAAGGCCTACAAAGGATCCCAAGGAATCCGTGAGCGTCTCGTCTTTGCCCATAACGATGTAAGCACACTCGACGCCCCTCTTTCCCGTTCACAACTGACACAGATAGACACAATATGGTAACATCCTCCGTATGCGTCCGGACGATGAAAAGTCCCCTCTCCTCCAACCAGCAAACGAACACAAGCAGCTTATCGTCATCGACTTCGAATACGCTGCGGCCAATGTCCCAGGCCTCGAGTTTGCCAACCACTTCACAGAATGGGCCTACGACTATCACTACGAAGCCGCACCCTATCTCTGCAATACGGCCCGCTACCCAACAATCCAGGAGCAGCGCCGCTTCCTCAAAGCGTACGTCGAGCATCGGCCACAGTACCCCCACGGCGGCGCCTCCACCCCTCGTCTCGCTCCCGCCGATGGCGCTCCAGCAGGCAGCACCACGCCGGCTCTCCTCCCTACCACCTCCTCCAGCTCCATCGTCGAGTTCATGCTCGACGCTCGCGTGCCTCCGGGACACTGGAAGGAAGAAGAGCGCCGCGCAGATGAGGCCATCGAGGAGGAGGTTAAGGAGCTCTATGAGGAGACCCGCCTCTGGCGTGGCATCAACAGCGCGCAATGGGTCGCTTGGGGCATCATCCAGGCCAAGGTCCCCGGGTTCGAGTCGCCCGAGGAGAAGGAGCAGCAAGAGAAGCAGGCGCAGAACGAGGCGGCGGCCGCAGCGGGCGACGAGGCCGCCAAGGCGGAGTGTCAGGCCGCTGCGGAGGCCGAGGCAGAGGCTGGAGACGAATACGACTACCTCAGCTACGCTCAGGAGCGGGCGTTCTTCTTCTTGGGTGACTGTGTCCTGATGGGTATCGTCAAGAAGGAGGAGTTCCCGGAGGATGTGCAGGCCCGCCTCAAGGTTGTTGACTTTTAAGTTTATAAATATTATCCTCATCGGGACGTTTGAAGCCCGCGTTGTTCAATAAAAATATCAATGTTCAAAGACGGATGAATTCGGTGCCGCCTCTCGATGCTTCTGTTACCATGATCGCAACGTTGGGGAACGCGGAATGCAGAGCTCACAAATCAGGTATGATTCCGGTGAAAGAGTATTTTTCGTGCCATTATTACTTCACAATACACTGTATCTACAAAAGGCAGCCACCCTGACTGCATGCCTATGCGGCATCTAGCCCATCTTGTTGTATCTCTCCCGGGCTCTGTCCTGCACCGTGTTCACGTACTCGGCATAGCTGTTCTTCGTCTTGCGCTGGGCCAACTCGGCCGCGTCGCCCAGGTTACCGCCCTCCGCACCGAGACCAACGCCTTCCTGGTACGCGTGTGTCGCAATCACCTCGGTGCGTCCGTCGGCGTTGGCGCCCAAGCCCTGACCGGTGCTCCAGCCCATCTTGGCCAACATCCCTGCGCCCTTGGACGGCTGCGGAGGCGGTGTCTTCTCGGCAGGTGCCCGAGACGGCTTGTCCTCTCTTCGCGCAGGCTTCGTGTTCTGAGCCAAAGGTTTGGGTTTGGATGGCTGGTTGAAGACCTCTCTGCGTTCCTTCGCACGGTCGCGATATTGAGGGCCCGACTCTTCGTTCTTAGGCTGTTCCTCGGTCTGCTTCGACATTCTCTTGTCGCGGGCGGCAAGACGGGGCTTGGCAGCCTTGACCTTTTCCTCGTCTGCCATGGCATTTTTGTGGTTTCTTGACTTCTCATGAGTGTTGAGGTCGTCCAGAGACTTGTACTTCATCATGCATAGTAGACAGCACACCTTTTCCCTGTCGACGTATGATGCTGTCGGCGAAGCAGGCTGCTCGGGGCTTGCCGCACCAGTCGAAGTAGGGGCCGTCGACGGTTCTGCCGAATGTGATGTCGCGGGCGGGGCAGGGTTGGACAGACTCGCTCCTGTCAGCGAAATCTTGATTGGGCCAGTCGAAATGGCATTGGCCCCAGACAAAGATATCTTGACTGGTGCGCGCTCTTCCGCGCTGCCGTCACCATCGGCAGGGTCTGCAGGCTTCTTGCCTTCATGGATTTCGTCGTGTCGTCTCTGCCAAAAGGCCATCTGACCCGCCATTGGCGCGGACTTTTTTGTAGCTGCAGATGCAAGGCTTCCTTCAGCCTTGCGCTTCTTGGTCTTCTTCGCCTCATCATTCGCATCCGTCTTGTCATTGCTGGATGTACCTCCTGGAGGTGTCTCAGTGACGACCTTCTCACTGGGAAACACATGGGGTTCCCAGTATTTGACCCGAATGGCTGGATTGAAAAGTGGGTTGAATGAGATGTGTTCGATGGCGCGCGTGACGTCTCTCATTTCGGGTACGAATACACCCAGATGGATGGTCGATACCGTGACTGGCTTCCCGGCGATGGTGAACTCGCGCATCATCTTGAACTTTTGCATGGCGGCAAGAGCATCTTCGACCGTCCAGAACTCGGCAAATCCAAAATTGAATGATTCGTTCGTGTCTTGATCTCGCATCAAAAAGATGCGATGCAACGAGCCAGGCTTCGCGCCATATCCCGATGCATCGCCAGTTGGCGCCGTGGACTTCAGCTTTGGTGGTTCTCCAGAGTTCTTTGGCGCCGCGGGCTTTTGCGCCAGTTCCAGCTTTGCAGCGCCGGCGGCAAGCACGTCTTCTGTGACAGAGCCCGCAAGTGGAAAGAACACAAGAATCTGGGATGGCGTATCAGCTGCATCGCTTTCGCCGGTCAGGAGGTGACGGTATTGAGACGGGTCTGTGACGGTCAGTTTGGGGCCTTCAGCAGCATGTCGACATCGTATCAAAAGTACCTGTTGGTGGGCCGCCGCAGTTCTTGCAGCGATTCCTGGTGGAATAATTGGAGAACTCGCAATTGGGGCAAGTCCAGTTCGGGGCATACCCAGCCTTGCTCTCCCGTTCGCCATCGTCACGGTTCCTCGCGTAATGTATGTACATTGAGGTCATGCCATCGGCATCACCGTCGACCATGCCTGCGAAGTCAAGCATGAGCTTGGGATAGTGCTCCTTGACAAATTCGACCGCCTGGTCAACCTGCTCAAACTGCACGAAAGCACGTCGCTGGCCTGTTAAGTGTCAGCAAGGGAGAAATCGTGTCTTGGCAGCTAGAATGTCTTACCTCGGCCAGATGGAACTCGAACTTCAACCGAAAGGTATTGCGATAGATCCGTTTGTCTGAAAAGACAGTCCTTAACGTCTTCCAATGACAGGCCCGTGGGCAAACCCTCGAGGATCACAGTATCACTCGGATTACCAGCTTGTCGAAGAGGCGATGCAGAACGATCGCGACGAGAATAACGACCTGGGCTGCCACCTGGAGAGGGGGAAAAATGACGAAAATCCTCGTCAGGACCACGTCGGGCATCATCGCGGCGAGGGCCATCGTCGCGGTAAGGGCGAGAGTAGCCCCGGCCACCTCGATCGTAACGACGTGATCCGCGGTCGTCGCCGTCATATGGGTGAAGTACCTCAGGGTCTTCATCACGGCGATCCAAATGGTCATCCCCACGACCGCCTTGATCTCTCGATCCAGGACGTGGCTGGTAGGCCTCACGCGCCGATCCATCGTAGTAGCGGTCGTCTCTTGCGCGGTATTCTTCTTCTTCTCGGCCACGATCACGGTCCCGATCCCGGTAGCGGGTCTCCTCGTCGTCGTAGGACAGCTCGTGGTGGTTATTCCTGAGTGGAGATCTAGAATAGTCTCGTCGGCCCGTGGGAAAGTTAGCGGAAGCTCAAACCAGCCAGATGTTCTGCAGATGGTCATGTCCTCCGCAGGCTCAGCTTAGTTTCTTTACCCTGCCGCGTGCGATAGGCGTCGTTGTTTGGATATTGCTGGTGATCTCTCGGAGGGGATCTTCGTCGGTCGTGAGGTCCCCTCTCCCTCGAGCGATAGGTGTCCTCGTACATGTTCGCGGATCGCAGGATGGGGCGTGGGTGCAATGCGGACTCGGGAGCGCAGGATGCGTTCGGTGTTGGTCGTTTCGGAAGGAAAGAGCAGAAAAGCGAAAGAAGATGAAGAGAGAGGACCACGGGGGTAGAAAAAGGCAAGGCGCGGCGCCGACCCCAAGAGGCAGCGACGAGACCGTGCCTTGTGATTCCGTCGGGTGTTCGGCGCGACCAGGATGCGTTCCTGAGTTTGCAAGAAACAGAAACAGAACGGTGAGGTTGAAGAAGGGACGATCCACCAAGAAGCTCAACCCTTGCGTGCCAGTGGTGTGCTGTGGCTGCAACCAGGTGCCACCACCACCTTCCCTTGCCTGACCTTATCTTTAAGGTAAAATGCTTCGAGGCTCAATTGGAACACTCTTCTGCTTAGTAAAGCGGGGTCCGATAAGCTTGTTGGATTGTTGATCTGTGCTTCACTCCCTCCAATGTCGCCAGTACGTACCCTAAGGTCTCCCTCTCGCCCTGTGGTCACTCATTCAGCATCTCCGAGGGCATCAATTTGGTCGTCATGAGTAGACTTTGTCAACGCAAGGGCTGGCGATATTGTTGATGAATGCTAGAGATCGCTCATTGAGTAACACGACCGGCCGTGAAACCTAAGATCCTTTCTGGCACCAGCAAGCAGGTCGTACAAGAGTCAAGCGCTCTCAATCGGCGCTACTGTGGCTTTTGACCCCGCCATTCTACGATCTCCTAGCGGCCGTCCTCCCGAGCGAACTCGCACTTCAACCAACATCAAGGACACGGAAGTATTCACCAGAAATCCAAAATCAACGCCGATTCATCTCATCGATTCGTCATGGACTCTCAAGATCAAGGTCCTTGGGAGGTGACGGAGAACAGCTGCTACGTCGCACTCACTTACGACCTCCTCGATGCTGCGGCCATCATGGACCGGGTGCGCTCACCACAGGCCGGCGCCATTGTCCTCTTCTCCGGCACCACGCGCGACACATTTGGCGACAAACCTGTCAAAGAGCTGCAGTACAGCGCGTATACGCCCCTCGCCCTTCGCACAATGATGTCCATCGCCAAGTCCATCCTTCAGAAGCACGGTCTCAAGGGCGTCGCCATGATCCATCGGCTCGGCACCGTTCCCATTGGAGAGGAGAGCATCCTCATAGCAGTGTCCTCGCCGCACCGGCAGGCAGCGTGGAGAGCCGGCGAGGAGGCCCTGGAAGAATGCAAGGCCAAGGTCGAAGTCTGGAAAAGGGAAGAGTTTCATGGCGAGGAGGGCGTATGGAGGGCAAACCGGGACGGCATCGCGGGCCAAAAGGTCACCAACGAGCAGAATGCTCCCGCAGAGCAGAATCCGGATGCTGCGCCGCCCCCTGCGTCTCTCGGCCCAAATTGCTGAAGCTGGATATCGAACCCCACCTACACGCTCAACCGGGCGACGGATCTAGAGTTAATTAGGCTGTTGGCTTCGGACATCGACTGCAAAATACGAAGTAAGCCCCAGGTTCATACCCGGCTCTGTTGTCTTTCAAAAAACATGGTGAGCTCGGCGCCTGCCGAAACATGCGAGGTCTATGAAATCATTGGCTACGTTGGGGGCTCTCCAGGGTGCCAATGTTATTGAGAGGGCAGTGCAGAACCAACAGCCATCCACAGCATTTCGAATCGGTCTATGACGAGCATCATCGCAGCCTTCCTGTCGTCTTGGCAATCAGGAAGCTCAAAATTGGGCTCTTTCAGGGGAACAAGGGAATCCAATCGGTTTACGGATACAATCAGGTGGATTGAATCAAGCATGTTGGTGGAATAATCATGCGGTCGAAGCTTGACCCGCCTCGCCCTCCACCATCGTCTTTCGCGAGCGCTGTGCCGCTCATGCGCGCCGACATGATACGAACGACCAGCCTTCGCTTCCAGGGTTCGGACAATCTAGGCAGGCGCATTTGGACTCGTGGGTCATTTGGTAGTCGACTAGTACAGCCAGCCAGCCTGGTCGAACTTCTCACTTTGTGGAGTTCGTGATCAGTTCTTTCCCTTCTTTCACCTCAGCCTGTCGTGGCAAGGTCGCAGTGAGCTATCACAACAATGGCTGAAAAATCAATCTACCAAGTCAACCAAGCTGAAAAGATGTCGGCTCGTGAAATAGACCACGGGCCAGAGGTCATACCGGATCAATACTACCACACCACAACACCAATATCCCCCACATACAACGGGGACGAGAACAAACACTACTCTCAGCAACCACAACAGCCTGTAAATGCAGAAAGGAGGATTTGTGGTTTGCGGAGGACGAGTTTCTTTCTCTTTGTCGTCCTCGCAGCAGTCGTCATTGCAGCATCAGTGGGCGGAGGCGTTGGCGGTTCGTTGGCGGTTTTGCGCATGAAAGAGTGAGCAATCTACACACCCTCGTACGCCCCGAGCCTGTAGTCTAACATAAAAACTCCAGGCAAACCCAAGCAGAAGTACAGGCGAGTACCGCTGCCAAAGCGACAGCGACGGATTCGCCGGTGGCATCGAGCACAGTAACGAGCGTCCCCGCGACAGGCACAAACACTCCGACGACGGGTTCGACGCAAACCACAGCAAACGCTGCCAGCATTTCCATCCCGACGACAGGTCTGGTGACGACAGGAGACCTACAGATGAATTGCCCGAATTTGACGGGCAGGACGATGTCTGTGACAGTGGGAGGAGTTAAGTCGAACTACGATACCGAGTGCAATGTCGATTACACGGGTGACAATGTCGATGTCATGGCATTGGTATCGTACACGCTGGACACCTGCATGATGGCTTGCTCCTCATACAACAAGAATATCAACGGCACCAGCGAGAGGTGTATCGGAGTGCAGTTCAACGGGGTGATCGAAACCATGACGAAGAATTACGGCGGAAACTGTTTTCTGAAGAAGAACACTGGCACGAAGGAAACAACAACCCAAGCCTCAACATCGATTATCAAAAAGTATAATATGCACTTAGCGGCCATGCTGAGTTGATGAAACCCTTATGAGAATAATGAGGGGCCGGGATGGGGGCTTCAGGCGTTGTTTGGGTCAGGTCATGAATGGCATTTGCTGGGCTTAATGATATCACATAAATACCATGCGATTTCTTCTAACATATCAAACGAGACAAAGATATCAAGGCGGATCGCACCTCCTGACTCAAAGTAGAGTTCTTGAGGCGCACTGGTGAAAGGGAGGAACCGCTAGGAGGACGTGACTAAGCAGATTGGTGTTGAGTTTAATCTTCCACCCCTGGACCCTGGGCATTTTCCGCTCCTTCTTCCTCATCTAACGCGAACCACAACTGCCACCGATACGCATCTGACAAGAATGTGGCATCCACCAGCCTAACTTTGACAGGAACGCCGCTGGCCCCAGCTTCATGTCAATCATGATTTCGAAGGCTCTCCCTGTGCGCTTTCCCGTCAAGTTTCCTCGGCACGGATGCCCGGCTGAGCCTCACTCTGCGAGGCGACCTGTCAGGTGCTTCCAGCCAAGCGAAAGCTGAGGACCTTATGAGGATGTGCTGTGCCTCTCTAACCACCTCGGGTTGGCGCGACATTTGAATCTCTCCAATCTGGGCCCTAGATGCCTCTCAGGTGGCGCGACCATTTGCTGCAAGGTTTAGCCCGAAAGAAAGATACACTTAGCCCTGCTGGGCGCCCAGCTTTAGAGACGCTACCCCATAATCACGGCTGAATCCACAGTCCGCCCGACGAATGCTCTGACGAGACTGAAAAAGGCATGCCACCCGGCTTTCTCGCGCCGTTGGTATCTGTCTCCGGCGGGATCCCTTGCGTTTGCTTCTTGTTGTTGAACCTTCAGCAAGCTGCCACACATGTAGCGTTGATTGCCCGGATACCCCAACGTCTCCAATATCAATCGAGCTTCTCCGCACTGCTTGCTGCGGGGGTGGAGCTGCCACAGGAACCGGCCATCGCATCTCGTGGTGGGCTAGCTACGCGGCCTTCCGATCTTGACGAGACTGACAGACAACAACGATGAGGTTTTCAAGAGCTGTGTTTTTTGCGGCGTTGGCGGATGTGGCGGCTTCTCAGTTGGTGGTTTCAACCGACTTCAAGAGGGTCTCCTTTCCTCCAGACCTGGTGCAAATCACCCGTCGCGATACTTTCGACGTCACGGCTATCAACAATCTCACCGGCGGTGGCTACTATTCAGAGGTCGAAGTCGGCACGCCAGGCCAAAAAATGCTCATGCATCTGGACACGGGCAGCAGTGATACCTGGGTGGTAGACAAGCAGGCGGACCTCTGCAACAGCCCACGCATGCAACGGACGTACGGCACTGGTTGCACTAGCACCTTTGACACGACCAACAGCTCCACCTACAAGCTTGTCACAAGGAATGGTTTCGATATCACCTACCTCGATGCCAGGAACATCCAGGGCGACTACATCTCTGACACAGTGAACATCAATGGGAAGAAGGTATCGAGCCAGCAGCTGGGCTTGGCCATTCAGACGGTTAAGGGATCCGGCTTGATGGGTCTGGGTTTCTCGACGGGCGTGTCGACAAGACGGAGTTATCCCACCATTCTCGACAACATGGTCTCGCAGAATTTGATAGGCCGGAAAGCCTTCAGTCTGTGGTTGGTACGAAGCTCCAATCTGGTTGAAGGAACGCCATGCTAACATCAGTTCAGAACGACCTGTCTTCGTCAGAAGGAACGTTGCTCTTCGGTGGCATCGACACTGAGAAGTACATTGGATCCCTTACAACACTGCCCCTGGTCGATGACTACCACTCCGAGCGTATCACCAGCTACAGCGTCGCCATGACCGGCGTTTCCCTCGAAACACCCGACGGAAAGATGACCGAGTTGGCTGCGGAAAACTTCAACGCCTCCACCGTCCTTGATTCCGGCTCAACGGTCTGCTTGCTCCCTGACAGGATCGCCAACCAAATTTGGGAGAAATACGATGTCATCGACGCCGGCTACGGCTTCGTGGACTGCAAGTGGAGGGGACCCGACGGCGAAAACCACTTTCTCGACTTCGAGTTCAACGGTGTCACGATTCGAGTGCCCCTCGAGGAGATGGTTCTTGACAACCTCGACCCGATCATGGATCAGCTGGATGGTCTGCTTCCGTTCGATAACCCGTGTATGTTCGGGATCCAGAGCAACTCGGCCTTCGACATCAACAGTAGCAGGTTCGCTCTCTTGGGCGATACGTTCCTACGAAGCGCGTACGTGGTGTACGACGAGACCAACCAGCAAGTCGGCATAGCACAAGCAAACTTGAACTCGACGCGCTCCAATGTCATCGAGTTGCGCGCAGACGAGACCGCCTTGCCCACGGCCACTGGCGTGGCCAGTCAAGTATCAACTGCAGCCCCGACACGGACAGCCAGTGGAAATACGGGCGGGAGCGGAGGCGGAGGAAGGGAATCGGGCTCGGGCGCGACATCAGTTTTGGCCACGCCTACGCCGAGCGCAACCGAGAATGCTGCGTCGCGGCCGGGCATGACACCTTTGGGGTTCGATGGAACCATTGTGGCAGCACTTATATCCGTATTCGCCATTTTTGGCGCGGCGCTCTTAGCAGTCTGAGCTGGGAACGCGAATAACTTAATGTATGATACTAATATCTTGCAGAGCAATGAATTAATCATGGCCAGAAGCATAAGCAAACGTTTCGCCAGATTGCCCTATTTGCTCCATCTTAGCATCTTAGTCTGGTGTAATGACATGATTCAGGTCTATGTGAAGCTCAAAGCGCAGTGGTAGAGTTCGAGCCTTCAACGGCTACCTTACCTCACAAAACTGTGGAGCGGGTACACCCGATGGGGAAATTTTTTTCATGCACTTTTCGTCACTCGTCCCGACCGGCCGGCTTTTCACCTCACATCTCATCCCGAACTCGGCATTGACGACCTGTTGACTCATTTCAAGGACCTCTCAGGCTTCTCTCATATCGAGTGTCCAGACAAGTTTATTCTGGATTACCATTTCTCCCAATCTCACTCACTAAGCTTCCCCCAGTCCATCTTGGCTCTGCCCCTCCATTACCCCTCCAAAAGTCGATTTACCCCTCCACCCCACCACATCCTAGACCTACAACAGCAGCAGCAGCAATGGCGAGCATCACCTCCGTCGACTTGACGGGCCTCAAGAAGATCGGCCAGGGCAAGGTCCGCGATGTCTTCGAGGTCGACGATAAGACCCTCCTCTTCGTCGCCTCCGACAGAGTCTCTGCCTTTGACGTCGTCATGCAGAACGGCATCCCCGACAAGGGCGCCATTCTCACCCACGCCTCGGTGAGCTCTACAACAAACCCGCGACTCGCCGATTTCACCGTCGAGCCCCTCCGCTGACCAAAAACTTTTTTTTTGATGCCAGGCCCACTGGTTCAAGGTGCTGACGGAC